GGTAAAGGTATGAAATTATCCCTGCTGAGCCCTCTTCTCCAAAATAAGAATGAAAGTGAGGGTACAGAAGTCTGTGACATACGTCGCAGCCTAACTCTCCTCGGTGGGTGACCCCTAGCAGAGGAAATGTTACTGGCTTCTGCAAGACATGAGCCCAGTGTTTTCCAACAGTCCGGATGAAACTCTGGTCTCTTTTCTTTCTTCTTTCTCGGACACTGTCCACTCTCTAGACTCCTCATAATTTTGAAGAATTAGCGAACCTGGATGACAGTGAATGGACCTGGCCGTTGTCTTGAGCATGGGCGTTGAGAGTAGAGTGTGATGGGGCAAACCGAGCCGCTCAGCAGCCCCCTGCCCTCCCGGCTCCCACTCTCGCCTCATTTGGAAGCAGCAAGCAGGCTGATACTTTGCAGCTTCCCACTCCCAAGATAAGCACTATAGCTAACCTGGCGCATCATCCACACAAATAATATGGAGAGGCTGTCAGTGTGTAGTGGAGGCCTTGGTGCTTTTATCTTCTTGATGATTGGCTTTATTATTTCACCAAAAACTGCTGTGAATTTGGAAAGTGCAACAGTGATTAACAATTGTCTAGATATTATTAATAGTGTTCTAAAAAGCAGTAAAATAGTTTTATGTTTTGCATGCATGTTTAATGTGATAGTTGTTTCATGGTTATTCATCTACTATAAAAAGCTCTTATTTATTTAAAACATCAATTTAGCATATACATGTTAATAAATATATCTCTGGATGATATAAATTTTAAATAATGGTTCCTTTTAAAGCAGGCCGCTTTTGATAATTACACTGAGTCAAACTCCCAGCTAAAAGACCAAGTATAGAAGCTTAACTGGCCTCTTGAGGAGAGGTAAAAGGTGACCAAGAGGAACTTCTCACATCAGCTCCAAAACTGTCAGGGCTCAGTGGGTCAGTGTTGTTTCCTGACATACCCATGGCTTCTGAAAGTCTCCAGCCAAGCCAGATACGCAGTCTCCGAAATGGTCTTGAACTCTTTCTATGGCCTTTCGGCTCTGAGTGTAGACCCAACCTGGGGAATAACACTTCACCTTCTCTGCATACACAGAATCTTTCATATTAAAGATCAACCTGTAGGAAATTGTTATTTGCAACTCAGATAACTGTCAGAAAAAAATGAGTGAAAACCTAGACTCCCTAATGGCTAAAGATGATGAACATTTTTTCGTGTGCTTCTTGGCCATACTTCTTTTGAGAAGTTCCATGCACTAAGAACACAGAAAACTGAATGCTCCTGAGGATAAAGCAACAAAGGAACCTTCCTACATTGTTGGTGGAAATGTAAACTGTTAGAATGCAGAGGTCTCAAAAAACTAAAAACCAATTTCATTTTATCCTGGTTATATTACTGAACGAGTTAAAGGCCTCACTGTAGTGATACATTCATATCCGTGTTGATAGCAGTGGACAAGAGCTAAGCTCTGGAAACACCATAGATACCCGTCAGCAGACTGATGGGTAAAGAAGATGGCATAAATGGCATGCACCATGGCATGTTATTCAGACATGAAGAATTTCAGGGGGAAAAATGGATGAAACTTGAAACCATAATGTTAAGTGAAATTAGACACAAAATTTAATAATGTGTGGTTTCTATCACATGACAAACCCAAAATATAATTACAAAGTAAAACAAAGGCAAGATGATAGGGAACAGGGAGGGAGACTTTTTAAAGAGGGAGAAGAGGATCAAGGGAAGAGTAGAGAGGGGAGGGCAGGGAGGAGGTAGAGGGGTCAAAAACAGCAAAGATGTTCCCCCCAAAAAATATAACTGCTATGTATTACAAACATTAAATAAAGACTAGATTCAACCAACCCAGCAAACATCTCTAAATACCTTGCACAGATATAGCTGCTATTTACTTTTCTCTTTGAAGTTGATATACTACATTCTAATAATTTTATAACTTTTTTCTATTTACTTTAAACTGTTGTCAACCCTGGGTTCCAGTCAGAGGGCTGTGGTCTAGAGGCACATCCAGCCCATATCAGTAGTTCTCAAATTTTTGGATTTCACAAAGGTAAAATTTAGAACCTCAGAAATACAGAGGGTCATAATCTTACATTAAGAAACTTTTAAATTGAAAATGCTTAACTTTGGAAATACTCACTACATTTCCAGCTTTTCTCTTTTTTCCTGTACTCCCAGAGAAACACTAGTTACCGGATCCATCCCGCCTGCGGGCTCTGGGCAATGGTTTCTTCTTTGTGTTTGTGTGAAGTGGGTGCTGGGTCTGAGATTCAAGCGTGGCACTGTTGGTACCTGGAGTCCTCATTGCCTACTCAAGCACCTGAGCATGAGATCGCAACACATTCCACCATGTTTGAGTTTAGCTAGGGCTCTCTTAGTGGGCTGAGTTGCCACATGGGACATATTACTGGTCTTCATCCCAACTAAAGAACCAGGGTAGGGGACAAACATGGGCGTTAGCAAGCAGGATACATAAGCATTAGAAAAATAATGAAAGAAGCTTGCTTTTAAACTACAGAAACATCTCAAGTCAGGGAATTACATGTGGTAAAATGGAATTTCAGATGAATTAAATTCATAGATAATGGCTTGTATGTCTCCCTTACATATATATTTTTATTTCAGTATATGCTATCTTACAGCAAATATTTTTAGCTTGTTTTGTCCTGTTTTCATGTGATTTTCCACTAGGGTAAGAATACCACATATGCGCACACACATTGTGCACACAAACACACACCTACACTGTTCACACTAGCAACTTCAAACCTTTACAGTCCTACACAGGTCACGATGTCATCCCACAGAACTCTTGGGCACGTTCACTTTAACTATAGGGTGCTTAGCCTCTATCTGATTTGCATGGGATCATAGCAAGGGCCTAGATAAAAACTAAATTTTTCCTTTCAGTGTTTGAGCTAAAGCCAACCTATACAAAATGCACAAAAGTTCATTTTTTATAGATTTAAAAAATCAGCAATCTAGGAAAATAATTAATATCCTCATATTATAATATGCCATCACTTTTATTAATACTAGAAAATCCAATAGGGTATAGTTTTACATATATATAGTGTAGATATCAGTATTGAGACTGACATATCACTTGGGTAATAGCCAACTTTCATCCGATTTGGAGGTACTACAAGGATGAATAATAATTAAAATATATACCTAATACCTAATCGCTGCCTGTCTGTTGGTAGTGCTAATTGCTGTCATTGAAAAGACTGAATTGTTTAAGAGAAAGGGAGAGAAAGAGAAAGTCATTCTTCATTGAAGCTATCTTCCTGTATCATTGCGAGCCTATTTTTAGTATCTATAGAAGTCATGATTTTGAATTTATTAGGGGCTGTGATGAATGATAAAACAAATCATCCATTTATATATCTTGACACTGCTTTGGAGAATACTTATTTCTTACAAGCAAGTGTCACATTGTATATAAAAGCTGGCTAATTGTGTGCTAATCTTCTGCATTATCTAGAATTCTCTGATGTAGTATTCTATCAATGGTAATATTAATTTTACTTATTTCAAATGTATGAAATATCTTCTAAAACCCTATTTCTTTTATAGTTTCTACTCTCTTACATTGTGTAATTTTGCATTCATCTGCTAATTAAGATTAGGAGGGCACGTTATAGAATATGTATTCATTTAAAACCATCCAGCTCTGTAATACATGAAAAATACTAATATTTTATCCATTTTAAATATAAAAAGCAAAAAAGCATCTAAGAACATTACTAGATGTTGTGTTTGTTTTCATGGGTTTTTTTTCCCTACACAGTTCAATAGTTTCATTGATCCACTGTTTCTTACAAAAATCTGCCATGCTTTGTGAACTTCACTTTCTAATCTCATAGAGCAACCCTTCCTTTATATTATTCCTGCTCTCTCTGGTCCCAGAACAGTAGGGTTGCCTTGACAAATCTATTCAGTAGCCATTCCTCGGCCTTTATTGGTGGGGACTGGGGCCTTTGAAATTCTCTCCTCACTGCAACACAGCTGACATCTTCTTCCAGACAGAATGAATTAAAGAAATACAATAAGACACTTGATCTACCAGTCAAGGATCTTTCCATAGTGAGGACGGATTCCATGGTGCACAACCAGGGCAGCAAGCATCTAAAAATACACAATACATCCTTGTTTACTAGAATAGCAATTGCCGATTTTTCCAACATGATTGATGGGATGATTTCTTTTAAGATAAAATCTGCCTAGAAATTCATTGTGTGTGTGTGTGTGTGTGTGTGTAATTTTTAAAAATCATATGAGGTTAATCATATATCCTAAACTAAGGTTCACATGCAGACTTAAAATGTATAAAATAAAGGTAGTATAGTTTCATTTTATTTTTCTGAATCACAAGTCATCATGACCATAAAGAGTGATTGTTAATATTGAAAGCTTTGTGTCCTCAGATGCACAAATACAGTTCACCAGGTTCTGTTTCTAATCTATAGAACTGTTTGGGTACAGCTTTTATTGAGGCAAATCAAAGTAAAAATGAAAAGAATATATTTATATGGGGCAGATTTTTGAGGAGAAATACAAAATTTAATTTTTCTAGTAGTACACAAAAAATACAGTTTACTCGTTAGTTTTTCTTTTACTGGTTCAAATCAATATTGATTTCACTCAGTGTTTAGAATGGTACACTTTAAAATTTCTCTTAATTATAATCCCTTTATATGTTTATTCCTTGGCCATCTAATCTTTTCTTAGAAATATATTGCAACATGGTTCACAGGTTACATGTCTTAATATCAGTGCGGCTAAGTTGATGAATTGTAAAAGATAAACTTTTTCCCACAGACATTTTTATCACGAATAATTACTATTTACCTAAGGAAAATTTAAGTATATGGAAAGAAATACACTCTCAGTGATTGATTTTATAGGATAGATTTAGCTTTTCCACGTAAATATTTGGTCTTGGTTTAAATTGTGTTTCAACAATATTGTCTCTGTTACATTGCAGAACTGTTGTAATTGGGTCTCTAGCTCAGAACCATTAGACACATCAGTGGAATCCATGCTGCCTGACTGTCCCAGAGTCTCAGCAGGTATGTATTTGATGAAAGATGTATATTTTTTAAGTTGAATATATGCCAGTGAGATGGAGCATTCAAGGGCTGGGGTGTAGTCCAGTGGTAGAATTGATTGTCTGGCACACACAAGGCCTTGGGTTCCATACACAGTACTACAAAACAAAACAAAACAAAAATAAGCATAAACAAATGTATAATTCTATTTTGTGAGTTAAGTATTTTGTTCTGGCTTGCATTATTGAATGAATTATTGATAATGTAGGGCATATGTGTAATCCACTACCAAAACTTAGGTAGCTTAAAATGCTTACCAACAAACTCGGGAAAATGAAGAGGTGGAACAATTCAAAAGCAATGACGACCATTGCTGTTGAAGCTCTGGGAGATAAGAAAATGCCAAAGATGGAGACTGGGTAGCCATAAGAATCTTTTGCAGCACATCTGTCTCTGATTGAACACCAATCCCATGATCTGTCAGGAAATCAAGGTTATTATGTGACATGCAGCCTTTTTTTCCCCCCGGTAAGAAGGATCGAACTCAGGACCTTGGAACTTGCAAGGCAGGTGCCACTGAGCTAAATCCCTGGCCCTGTGGTGTACAGTCTTCAGAAAAAAAATTTCTCATGCTAAGATTTTAACTGGGCCATGTGCATTAGATAACAACTGTGGGAAGACTTGCAAGATGGCACCCTACACAATAGAAACAGAAGTGCAAAGCATAAGAGCTGGAATGGCTTTGAAGATGTTCATAGAGAATAAGGGCAAGAGTAGCCTGCCTGCTGAAAGAAAAGAGGTGAAGAGATGGGCCCCTCAGGAAGCAGGTGAATTCTGGACACTGTAAGGATAGCATGGACTTTGTACTTAAGTCTCTAGGTAGGGAAAGGGAATGGCTGGCAATGGCAATGGCGTTGCTTTCTTGTTTTAACTTTCAGTTTCCCGACATTTTGGACAGTCACGCCTTATTTATGACTAACAACAAAAATAGCCTCACTTTGGCTAAGGATGCCAAAGAATGAGCAGTTTAAATACAACTCCAAGCATAGTTGACAGCTAATCACCAAGTACTTAGAGTTGTAGGCACTTTTTAGGTATTCATAGGAAAAAAACTTGAAGGACAGTTCAAATTCTGGATAATGAGCTCTTATTAGTAGTAAACATCACTACCCATAATACTTCAGCTGAGCCTTATTATCGTTAAGACTAAATTTTATAGGTTTATCAGTGTGGGTTTAATCAGAAGCAGAACCACTAGGACATCTACAGTATATGCTAAAACATATACAGATTTGGGTTTGTATGTATATATTATATAGCCTGTTTTTGTTATTCTTGATAGTTGTATTCAATGAAGTTATTGAGAGCCCTGAATCAGTGAATACTTGTTACTCCTAGGGGAGGTAAGGGACAGTACAATTCCTGTGAGCTTCTGGTCACATTTTTGTCAGCCAATCAATATAACCTTTGTGTTTCTGGTTAGAGATACCTTATTTAATTACAATGTTACTTCATTAACATTGAACGCATGGCCAACAGCATTGTAACTCATGCCTAAACAAAGCTTATCTAACACATACATTTTCTCCAGAAGTGGCATCACAGCCTTGTACTTAAGAACACGAGAGAGCACCTCAGCACTGTATTTGGAAGCCATTTAAAACAGGGAAAGCAGCTGGTCATAGTGGCACAAGCCTGTAATCTTCACACTTAGAAGGCTGAAGCAGGAGGATCACTGAGTTTGAGAACATCGGACATCATGGGCTACATAGTGAGTTCAAGGCTAGCCTGAGCTACATAGCAATACACTGTCTCTAACTAAATAAATATAAACAAACAATGAAATCACCAAAAATTCAAAAATTTGGCACTAATATTGTTTAAAGGACATTTATTTACCTTGTGAACTCCGAAACAAAAAGACAGAGCATGGCCTTACTCAGCCTTTGTTAAGAATGGTGACTGAACTCTTCCACTACTCTGCAGGTGCACACGTGTAAATGGCTGAAAAATTGCCATGAGGTTATAAATAAATTTTAGTGAGTAGATAAATTCACAGATGTAGACTCCAAAAATAATGAAGGCAGACTTCATTATATCAATGTAGAGGAAAAGATTTGTTATTGATTCCTGGGCAGAACTGGTTAAACAGTCTTGGTAAAGATGTTGACTTTACATTTGATGCTAGAGCTTGTGTCCCAAAGCAGGCAGTTCGTTGGGAAAGCTAGATGCAAAATGGTAGAGAGGAGGAATGAGCCAGAGCCCATAAGCAAGAGCTGAAGTCCGTAAGATGAAGATGGACTTGAACCCACATCAGTTCTTATTGTCTTGGTCTTTGGTAATACGAGCATCCCTAGAATTCTGTGCCCTTTGTCATGGAGCTAAACACACACACCTGCCCCAGGAGTCAGATCCTGAAGGAGAATCCAGGGGATGAGGAGCAGTAAGAGTCCTGGCCATTGCCTCACACCACAGAATGAGCTAGCAGATTAGTGACAATGTGTGTGTGTGTGGAAATTTCCCACCAAAACAATAAATTTTTCTCTTGTGTACCATCCAACCAGAAACATACAGGAAAAATAATTCTAGAAAATGGAGTTCAACCTAGCCAGATTTACTCATTTAAAATCTATCACAGTCTACCCCTTGCCAGTTTGGCACTAATATTTATTTCCTTAAAACATATTTAACCTCCATTTTAATACATTAATAAAGTCACACTCCCACCTGAGGTGGTGACCATGTACCACGGCAAATACACTAACTTTTTTCCCAGATGACAGTACAAAGTCCCTTTATTGTCCCTGTTTGATATTCTGTAATTTAAATACTGAAAAACAGATTCTATTGACACCTCTTATATTAAGTGATAAAGGGTATAAGACATGTCTTATATATCACATAAGTGATAAAGGAATAAGACAAGAGACAAAACAAAAATATTTAGTGTAAAAATAAATATGATTCATATAAAAATAAACACAATGACACTCTTTACTTTTACAGCTGATCATATGATTTTAGCTGATATTATGACTCCCTTCTTCCACTACCCAGTTAATATTCCCACTGCTCTCCAGAGGCAGCTTAGCCTGGGGGAATGACCCAAACCTCCATTTCTGAAGGGTCTGGGCCTGAATTAGGTTGTTGTAGTATCCCATTGACTGTAATTGCAGGATATATGAACAGACACACTATGTCGTTCCCAGCATTGCAGACATGTTCTTCTTACGCCCTCCCGCACACACACTGTGAGTAACAGCCACTCAGCGTTCCTTTGGCAATCAGTATGCATCACACAGACAGTGCAGTGACACCCTCTGGTTCCCATTGACTTGGTGGCGTAAGACACCCCAATGACAAGGTAGTAGTCTCACCTTCATTTCTGTGAAATCATTGTTGTGTCACCTGATGGAAACAAGAGCTTCAGACCAGCAGAGCCTGGTGCCACGGCAGTGGGAAGCAACAGTTTTGCTAGTGGGTCACTAAGGGTAATAGGGAGAGAAACCAGTCCCACTTTTGTCACTTTATTTCCAGATCAGGGATACATAGCACTTTATAATAAATGCAGATTCAGAGTAAATTTCACATCCTGGTAGACATTGTCCCAGCTCCACAAGGTGTTGTCACCTCGCCATAATTATATCTGAAACTCCAAAAGGCCATTCCACTATTCTGCTAAGCCTGCTGCTTGCAGGTATCGGGGACATGGGAAGAGCAGTGAGGGTTGGCAGGCGCAGGGCTCTCTCCTCCTCTCACCCGCCCACTCTGATGGAACCAGCTGCCTTGTTATAAGCTGCTCTGGGGAGGCCTCTGTATGGCAGGGAACTGGGCTCTGTATCCAAGTGCCAGTGAGGACCCGCAGTCTGCCAGTAGCCACATGAGCGACCTTGGAAGAGGAGTCTCCAGCCTCAGCCAATACCGTGATTGCAGCCTGACAAGAGATGCTGAGCCAGGGTCACCCAGCTGATTTCTGACCCACAAAAACTATGAGATGGTAAATGTGTATTGGTTTAGCTGCCAGGTTTGGGGGTGATTTGTTCCACAGCAGTAGGTAATTAACACAACAGGGTTCAGCTTCAACTTTGGTGGTCATTCCAACCTAAGAAGGCACAGCCTTCTTTTTTTGAGACTAAAGCCCTGTAAGACTCATTTAATAATAGTATTTCAGTGCAGCTCTTTTCAAATAATCACTAAAAACTCAGTAAAGACCATTTTTTCTACCCTTGCTCCCCACCACCTCACTAGATTTTTCCTGTGCAATTTACCAGAAGAAAATATAATAATTTTCTTCTTTATCATTTTCACTTGCTCTTATACTGAGTCATGTTAACTAGCTCATCTCTGACCAAGTGTTTTCTTAGGACAGAACTTGCTACTCTGGAACTTTCTACTTCCTGTGGGGTTTTGTTCCAGTATATTTCACCTAAATCAGAAAGTGATTTTGCGTACACTCCCCAGCACATATCCATTTGATCTTCAGTTATTTACTATGTGCCTTACAGTGTTCTGGATGCTGAAGATACAAGAGCAAACAGCTGCTCATCATGGCTACCATTTTCCCTCTAGAAATTAAAAAGAATTACTTCTTGACCCTTCTGCTACAGATTTTGCAGTTGCTATCAACATTAGGTTACATGAAATGAGAAGGGTTTAAAGCTAGTACCCATAGCACAATCCACACCTACTCGTGAAAGCAGCATTTTTAAAAATTAGAATCAAAGATTTCCCTTAAAGAATCCTTAAAAGTCATTGAGCAAGGGATAATTAGTAAATGCACAAAAGAAAGAATGAAAGCCAGAGAGAGCAGACTCAGCAAGCAGTGTTGAAAAGCAGCTATATGGGTTTCACGGCATGTATCGGATGGTGGTATTCATGCTGCAGAGGATATAAACAGATATGCCTGGAAGGAGCCTCACTCCTGACGATGAACAGATTGGAGGAGACAACAGCAAACTGTAACATAAGTAACAGGGACGATGAATACCGTGACCAGAGAGTTGGTGGGAAATCAGGTAAGG